GAGATTTAGTAGGAGCTTGATGTACTCGGTGCCCCAATTTGGAAAATTCTGTCCTTTCCAAACAAACGCTGGGAGTTGGGAAATTATAAATCTTCAAACATTGAAGAGATAGCTGACGTAATCTGCTTCAATATTTGTAATAAAAATAAAAGTTAAGTGTTGCCCCACTTTAGAGACAAATAGAATTTTATGAGCAACACTAATAATAAAGATGGCACAATACTAATTGTGTTCCATCAGGTTACTTCCAACTTTTGGTGACCCTTTCCAGAGCTTTCTAAGCAGTGAGCAATCAGAAATGGTTTACCATTCTCTTTTTCTGAGGCACCTCAGGATGGTGCTGCTTGCCCAAGGCTACACAGGTTGGCTTTTCTTCCAGGAAGCACAGTGAGGAATTGACGGCATACACATTAATGGAAGAACAAATAAACACCCCATATGTTGTGGGTGACACTGTTAGGACTCATATTGGTGCTGTTCGCACTTCAGAAAATTGTTTGATAAAACTCTTCAGATGAAGCTGTCCTGCACATTACTAGATATTAGATTTCTTTGAACCTAATTAAATAGGTATCACTGGAATAGTACAATGTGTGAGAAAGCAGAACACGATGAAAGGACCCATGTGTGAAGTATGAAATATGGATTCTGCTCTCAAAGTGCTGTATCAAGTACTACACATTAATTCCTATGGAAAAGTATCAACTATTAAAATATTCCTTCACTGATGGAGTAACAGGATAGCTCAGTGTTAACCAAACTGGGAGTTGGGTCCCCCAAGGGGGTTGCAATGTGTTTGGGGTGGGGTTGCTGGTTGTTTTATATGTGTTTTAGCCTTTCTTAAATATTTTCTTCCTTGACCTTTCAGAACATGTGTGTGTTTATTGATAAACTGGCCCTTTGGGGTAGAAAGAAGCCTCTATGAGATGGGATTGCCCCATTAAAAAATGCCTTTTGATGTAAACGTAGTGTAGGGTTGCAGGTTACTTGGCTATTATAAATGGAGGTTGTCACTCAAAAAAGCTTGGAAACAACCGTGATAGCTGCTTTTATTGTAAGCAGTAAAATAATAGGGAATACAGTATGATTATTTCAAGAGTTCCCTACATCTATTTCAACATGCTTTCCACCCTAGTTTGGGAAACAGCTCTGGTGAATAATAAGCATCTGAAAACAGGGTGTGTGTAAGGATGTGACATGATTCTCCCACACACTACAGAAGCAAGTTTACAACAAAGGTATTTGCTTCACATACTTGATTGCATGCCATTGTCAACTGTCAAAAGCACTAATCAGATATCCTAGATATAGCACTTGAGTCCTTCAGCTTCTTATGACCTTCACAGACACAGGTAGAATAAATTATTGCACTTTTTAAAAATAGAACAGAAGTGGGCATTCCCATGACATCCAGGTACTGTGGCCTCTTTACTATTAGTGCTGTTGGGGCTGTGTTAGGCTAGGAGAAAAGGAAAGCAGCAATGGCCAGTATACTGCGTCTCCCTTAGCCCAGAGCTTAGAAAATTATTACTGCTTGGGCTACAACTCTCAATCCCCCAGACACAAAAAAATAAAATAAATCCTGTGACTATCAACACTTCAGCTACATAGCCCAACAAGCCAAGCCGAACTGAGTGGTGAATCTCAAAACAGGTAACGAAAAAATTAAGGGAGTAAAGAGAGGCAGCAAGCAGATTCCATAAACTCACACAATATGTACCTTCTTGTTGTCTTTAGCAAGCTCTGTTCCTACTGCCTAGTTTTTACAGAACCAGTGGCAAGTAAATGGTTGTGTACACTTAACTCAGGAAGGAATTTCAAAGTCCTTTCCAAAGTTTTAGCACATGGGAACCCTGTCACAGAGTAACCAGATGCAGCAATTAAGAGGCTTATCTTGGCCAACAGAGGCACATCCCAGGCTTTAGAAGTGGTTAATGCTTAAGTTGGAAGTTACAGACCCTGTTAACGCAGCCACTGCTGTCTGTAGTTTGGGAGTTTGTGTCTACTAAGAGCTCTGTTGTGTGGGTGGAGGAAGGCTTGATCATGCCAACTGTACAGTAGTTCCGAAGTAGAACTCAAAATGCACAGCAAGAACGAAGAAAAGGGAGCTTCCGCCAATAGCAGTAAAGACAGCAAGCACCCCGATGGCACCCATGCTCCTCCTGGCTGGTGGAAATGGATGATTGTGCTTAACTATTTTCTGGTAAGTAGAAAACAATGTGGTTTGGGGGCTTCCTGGAAACCCATCACACCACATTGTTCCCTTCATTACTTTCACAGAAAGATACAAGGCTGACAAAACTAGGAGGATTGATTTTTTTAATTGAGACCATTCATATGCAGTTTTCCCAGAAAGATACAAGGCTGACAAAACTAGGATTGATTTTTTAATTGAGACCGTTCATATGCAGTTTTCTAGACAGAATCCCCATCTGTCCTCTCTCTGCATGCACAGAGTGGGTTGCTCTCCTTTATGGCTTGCTAGACAGGCTTGGTTTCCAAGAGTGAGAAATGGCTGATGAGCTTCCAGTTCCTGTAGTGAAGAACAACCTTCAATACTCAGCGACAAGTCTACCGTATATGGCTGGCAGGGAGAAGCCTGAACTGTGTAGTACTCACTGCTGACTCGTGAGGAAAAGCAATTCACTGCGGAAAAAGAAGTCTGCTTTTCTTTCAGATTCTTTAGCTTTGATCTCTGCTGCCGAAACCATCCATCGGGAGCACTGGAAGCTGCTAGAATCTGCCCTTAACATAAACTCACTTTACAACTTGGATGTCAGAAGTTCTAAAAATGTCAAGGACAGATGCCACAAAAACCTATTTGCAAACATATTTTCACATCCATGTATGGGCATGTGGTATATGCTTGGATACAACCATATATTATACAGAGTATATAAATCACATTTTTCCTAGCTAAATAAAGAGCAGAATAGTGAACAGATTCCACATATTCTAGTGGGTGTTTCACATCCATGTATGGGCATGTGGTATATGCTTGGATACAACCATATATTATACAGAGTATATAAATCACATTTTTCCTAGCTAAATAAAGAGCAGAATAGTGAACAGATTCCACATATTCTAGTTAGAGTTACACTTCCTGTGAAAACTGTTTGCAGCTCTGGTGTACCCCTGGATTCAGTTCTAAGCCTGGGCACTAAATAAATAAATAAATAAAAATAGTTGCAGCTCTGGTGTACCCCTGATTCAGATCTAAGCCTGGACATAAAAGTTTCAGCAGTGGCCAGGAGTGCATTTACACAGCTAAAGGGGTTGTGCCTGTTCCTCAAGATGTCTGATCTGGCTAGGGTTTTACATCCTGAAGCCACATTTAACAAGGATTACTGTATGTGCTTTTTTTAGGCAGCTAAATTTGAAGAAATGTTTGGGAAAGTATGTGATGTGCTTTTTTTAGGCAGCTAAATTTGAATGTTTGGGAGCTTCAGCCAGTTTGAAACACTACAGCTGGCTGGCTGACCACCTGTACAGAGAGCATATAACTCCTGTTACAACAGCTCTATTGGCTACAAGTCTATTTATCTGGCTTAAGCCAAAGTATTGGTTATGACCTATCCAACCTTTATTAGTTTAGGCTGTCTGATGTGCTTTTTTTAGGCAGCTAAATTTGAATGTTTGGGAGCTTCAGCCAGTTTGAAACACTACAGCTGGCTGGCTGACCACCTGTACAGAGAGCATATAACTCCTGTTACAACAGCTCTATTGGCTACAAGTCTATTTATCTGGCTTAAGCCAAAGTATTGGTTATGACCTATCCAACCTTTATTAGTTTAGGCTGTCTGAACTGCACCTTCAATGGGAGAAATGTTTCAGCAAGTGAACCAAATGTTGAGAAATGAGTTTTTAATCAGGAGTGCTGCACATTTTAGTCTTTTCTGACATGTTTTAAATTGCTGCTCTTTCTCCCTTATTGTACAATGAGCTGCATGTTAATATTATAAAGTACCGTGTTTTTAGTTTTACTTCTCTTCTAACAATTTTGTAAGCCATCTTGGATCTTTCCATTGGGACAACAGTGGAACAGAAATAAAATAGTTTCTTTCAGCAGACCACACACAAAAAATAATGTTCTGGGGGAAAGTCTCAGATAAATCTTTTTCCTCGTCCTCAAATTAGAATCATAGAAAAGTGAAGCTGGAAGGGGCCTACAAGGCCATCAAGTCCAACCTCCTGCTCAACACAGGAATACAATCAAAGCATATCTGCCAGGTGATTATCCAAGATTTTCTTGAATGCCTCCAGTTTTGGAGCACTCACCAACTCCCAAGAGAACTGTTGTACTGCTCTAACAGTTAGGAAGTTTTTCCTGATATTCTGCCGAGATCTGGCTTCCTTTAACTTGAGCCCATTGTTGCGTGCCCTGCACTCTGGGATGATTGAGAGCAGATCTGGCCCCTTCTCTGTATGACAACCTTTCAAATATTCGAAAAGCGCTATCATATTTATTTATTTATTTATTTATTTAACTTATATGCCACCCACACTACCCAAAGGTCTCTGGGCGGTTTTGGGTAGTGTGGGTAGTTGGGTAGCCTTCTTTTCTCAAGGCTAAACATGCCCAATTCTTTCAACCTTTCTTCATAAGGCTTGGTTTGCAGCCCCCTGAATATCCTTGTCACCCTCCTCTGAACTTGTTCCAATTTGTTAGCATCCTTCTTGAAGTGCGGTGTCCAGAACTGGACACAAGACTCAAGGTGAGGCCTAACCAGTGCTGAATAGAGGGGGATATTACTGTATTGTCCTCTAGATGCTTGTACAATGACTGCTTTACGATCTGTTCCAGTCAGCCTGATGTCAAGCTCACTGGCCTGTAGTTCCCTGGTTCCTCTTTTCTGCCCTTTCTGAAGATAGGGACAACACTGGCCCTCCTCCAATCGTCTGGCACCTTCCCCGTTTCCCATTATTTCAAGAAATTAATGGATAGCAGTTCTTCAGCCAGTTCCTTCAGTACTCTCGGATGTAGTTCATCCAGCCCTGAATCAACCCAAAGATACGGTAAAGGGACATGAGAAAGAATTAGATGAAACCAGCTCCATCAGGAAGCCAAGCCAGTACACAGGGGTGTGTGTCATATATTCCATCTGTTCTGGATAGCAAAACACTATTTGTGTTTACTGCCACTCCTGAATCTTCCCAACATTTTCTTCATAGAGAAGCCAAGAGAAGGCAGGAATTTCATGATAAATATGAAACAGTTTCAAAGATAATCAAAAGGAACAAAAGGACTCTTATTTGCTTGCCTCTCACTTTCTGCCAAGGCCTCTGGCTACCAGAGCAGAGCTATGACTGCCACCGCATCTGTGGACTCCTGCCACTAAACATAAAAGAAACAATCTGATAGAGTGGTTACAGAAACAGGTAGCTACAGGTTCAAACCCCCACTTATCGACACACTTTACTGAGTAACACTGGGCCAGTCAGTCTCTCAGGCTAATCTACCCCACAGGGTGTTGTAAGGATGAAATGGGCAGGGGAAGGAAACATATATAAACATAAATCTATGTTAAAAGCTATCATTAGCTGACTGGATAGTTCAGTGCTTTGGGTATCTAGCTGCAGAGCCAGAGGTTGAGAATTCACCTCCTGAGCCAGCCTGTGTGGCCTTGGGCAAGCTGTATAGCCCCAGGGCACCTCCAGGAGAACGGAATGATGCACCACTTCTGAGTATTCTCCACCTGAAAAGGGCTGCCGTAAGTCAGAATTGACTTGATGGCACATGATTAATACCACAACTCATCCAGTACTCAAGAGTGACAAACTTCAATTGCACTGTCTTTGAAATCTTCTCAGAGGAACTAGACAGTGGTATACTAATAATCATGTGCTGTCAAGTCAGTTCTGACATATGGCAGCCCTTTTCAGGTAGAGAATACTCAGAAATGATGCATCATTCCCTTCTTCTGAAGGTGCCCTGGGGGCTATACAGCTTGCCCAAGGCCACACAGACTGGCTCCACAGAAGGTGAACTCCCAACCTCTGGCTCTGCAGCCATGTCTTTATCCAGCCATGATCACCCCTTCCTGTACATGCTGACAAGGCTGCTTTCCCATCTCTGAGTACTGGTCCTACTTGGCTCCGCAGGGGCCTCCTACTATCCACACCAACTACATTATTGTATGTTTGACATGAAAAGATCCCTATTTACTGTTATGTTTTGTGGTTCAAGGTCAATATCTTTGTAATGGGAACACTGAAAAACTTTGCAATATTTTTTGTGGCCTTTGAAGATGATGTTGGTGGCTCTTCTGAGCAGATCAGCTGGATTGGTTCTACCATGTCTTCTCTTCGATTCCTAGCAGGTTAGCATACATATGTTTAAGTACAGCCTGGAGAAACAGCATGGGGTTGGTATGAAGTATTTTGCATTCAAATAATATCAGCTCTCAAATATTTTGTTTGGGTGTGAGAAACTACTACCTTTAACCTATTCATACAGCAGAGAGTAGGCGACCTGTGGCCTTCCAGATGCTGTCAAGACTGCAACTGTCATGATCCATCAATGTAGGCTAAGTTACTTACTTCTGGCATAAGCCCCATCTAGACATAGTCTACTCTGTAGACTAAGTTACTTACTTCTGGCATAAGTTAACCCAAACTATTCTTCTGGAGTTTGTCGTCTAGCATCCAGAACTTTAATATGGTGTGCATTTGCATGTGTGCGATTTTTAGAATCTCTTCAAATTCTCTCACTGTGGTCCCAATCCAGATTAGGCCCTATATACCTGTTTTTACACTCACAATTCATTTTTTTTTTTGTGAATGCATCACATTTTGGCTATCAAAATTTACACCCCCCTCAATTCATATCAGGACATGGGGGAGAATTACCTCACTCGCCTGCTACACTGATCCAGATTGGGCCCCTTGTACTGATTTTAAAGTATGGTAACAAAAATAGCTGCTGGCCAGAATCTAACTATTTATGCCCACCAGCAAAAAATTCAGTGGCAAATCTGTATAGCTATTTAGTGTTACCTATTAGGTGCATAACTTGGTGTACACCAAATGCTTACATCAACTTAACTAGCAGCACCACTGAAATTTATGCCAATGGACTTAAACTGATGTGATTCTTGAATTGCATTCTGTCGTCTATGTTTTTAAAATATTATCTAGATATTTACTTAAGAGTATACAGTATTGGTCTTGAGCTGGAGACTATCCCCTCTCTATTCCAGCACCATTGGCAGCTATGGCATGTGAAATGCTAGGAGAACGAACAACAGCTTTGATTGGAGCTTGTCTAGTTGGTGCCGGCTGCCTTATCAGCACATTGGCCACAAGCATCTCTTTCCTTTGTGCATCTATGGGATTGTTGCCAGGTGAGTGTACCCTGTCAATGTGTCTAGCCAGTCAGCCACACAAACTCTCCATGTACAGTAGGACCCCTTATCTGTGGGATCAGTATCTGCTGATTTACTTGTCTATTCTGAAAATATTAATGGAAAATTCCTAAAAATATATATTTTTCAAGATGGAGGTACCAGATCTGGCTACTAGAAGGCCCCAGAGACCATGCTATGTATAGTATTGCTAGAGAAATATATTTCCAGTGTCATTACCAGAACGGGCCACTAGAGTGAGACATAACAGTCTCGTCTCGGGCTGCACAAGCCAGTGGTTGCACTCACTGTTTTCAGTGCGGTTACACATACACAAGCAGGCACTGGAAAGCACCACTTCTTGTGTAATAGAGCACTGAGTGTGTGGAATGTGGCAACAGAATACGGGTCTTTAAGAATATTTTCCAAATTGAATTTAAGTATTGGAGAGAGAAGGGAAAAATTACAGAAAGAGATTTTTAAAATCCAGCCATTTGCGGAAAACACACTCCACAAATCTAATTTAGGAAGCCAGGTTATACCAGCTCAAGCTGTTCGTCCACTTAGAAGAGCATCACCCACTTGAGGAGGCATCATCCCTTGGCTTTTCCTCCTATGCACTCCTCCGTACTCCTTTTGAAGAACACAGCAAGGTACCTCCTAAACGTGGCTAATGCTCAGATGAAGCAGAGGATGCTATCCAGCCATGAGCAGTGAACAGAAACTGGACTGCCAATTCACTCTTCTGTAAATGGAATGGGGTATAAGGAGTCCCTTGCTTCCGGAAGCAAAATGTCTTGGGCTAATCCTGTCACTGAGTTGTGATATCTGCCTGTTTCTTACATCAGGGTTTTGCACTTCCATTACAGAACACTAAAAATTAAAGCAGACTAAGATAATCAAACTGTAAGCAAGCCACCCTACTGCCACTGCAGGGAATCCTAGAGTGCAGACTTGTCTGGCAACAATCCCAGTTATTTGGGGCTGAGAGCAACCCAGCAATGCCATTGTCTTTGTATTTGATCTGTTTCTTTATAGGAGAATAAATCCATGTATTGTTGCTTTTTTTAAAAAAACACTTTTCAACTGAATTCACTTTAGAAAGGCACTTGCACACAAGATTCGGTTCTTGGCCACTGTATTTCTTTCCTCATTTTAGGACTGGGTTTTGCTTGCTTGTACCAGACAGCATCTGTGATTACTGTTAAGTACTTCAAGAAAAGGCTGGCTGTAGCCAATGCGATTGGCCGTTCGGGAATGGGAGTGAGTGTTGTGCTGGCACCCTTTGTTCAGTTCCTGATAGAAAGGTATAGTTGGCAAGGTCAGTAACTGTCACTTTTCACCTCCTTAAGCCCTTGCTAAGTAAAACTGGGCCACAAAATTGTGACTTGCTCTTTTATTCTTCTAATGTGTTTTATTTTGCCTGCTTTGTTTGCTCTGAAATGTCTGAACAATGGATGTCAAACATTAAAGGACCTTATTTCTTTACAAACTGTTAATCAACAGCTACAACTAAGCTGGGTAATCACATTCTCCTTCCTTTTCAGTCATTAAACTTTCCCTGACTGCTATAACTGAATCTACAAATCTGCTCCTCTATGACTAGAATCCTATTTATTAAGAGTGCCGTACATGCAGGAGTATAAATTGCAGCTGTGGATAATAAAACTGAACAGGATTCTGGCCTACTAAAAAAAAAGTCATGACATTTAAGGAGAAGGTAGAACTAAAAACTGCCCTGCATTTAAACAGCTAATAATTTAATACACATTTTACTCACTATAACTATATTAATTACACTAGACCAAAGTACTTGGACCAGAATTTTCATCAGTGTAAGGGAAGGATGATTCCTGAAAATTGATATAATCTCCAGGAATTATCCAGAATCTATTAATTGTTTGGTTTGTCCTCTTTGCAGTCCAGGGGACTCTCAAGACTCTTCTGGACTGCAAAGAGAACAAACCTATTCATTTTGAAGGAAATCAACACTGAGGGCTCACTGGAAGGACAGATCCTGAAGCTAAGGCTCCAGTACTTTGGCCATCTCATGAGAAGAGAAGACTCCTTGGAAAAGACCTTGATGTTAGGAAAGTGTGACGGCAAGAGGAGAAGGGGACGACAGAGGATGAGATGGCTGGACAATGTCATCAAAGCGACCAACATGAATCTGACCAAACTCTGGGAAGCAGTGGAAGATAGGAGGGCCTGGCGTGCTCTGGTCCATGGGGTCACGAAGAATCGGACACGACTTAATGACTAAACAACAACAACAATTAATTGTTTGGGGAAGGAGGAATTTGACATTATTTAAAACTAGGCTCCCAATGGCTACATGTCCTTTTACCATGACTATTTTGGTGCTGCTTCAATCAACAGAAAAGCTACCAATAAAGAAGATGGGAAAATTCAGACACTTCTCAAAAAATCTGGCAGAAATGCCCCATCTTATCAAGCAAACAGTCCCCCACAAAAGAGGGGGTAGGGAATATTTGCACTGTGCTAATAAATATGTTTCTTCATTTGGGTTCTTCAATGTTGTAGTTTAAAAAAATAATCATACCTTCCTGTCTGTCCTTCCTTTCAGGGGCCCTACTGATATATGGTGGTATAATGTTGAACCTCATCCCTTCGAGTTTGTTGCTACGGCCCATTAAGGAGATGGAAGTTGTAGGTACCAGAAATGACAGCAAACAAACAGCTGCAGTCTGTAAGTTTTCAGAACGTTTGAAAGATGGTTCAGATGGAACGTGCATTACAGAAGGAGCCATTTTCATTTCTATGAGTCAGGAACATGTCAATACAAAAAGAGAAGAGGCGGGTGAAGCACAATTAGCTCCAGCAAACTACAAATACGGAGCACTGGACAAAGACAGCCTCCTGGGCACCCATCTGGATAGGAACGGTTGCCAAACTGGTAGTGGAAGATCAATTCCAAACAAGGAAGGAAATTCTAAGCCACAGACTTTTCTCAACAAACAGTGTCAGTCCAACTTTTCCCAGCTGAAAAACCCCTTCTTCTATATTTTCACATGGTCTTTTCTTTTCAGCCAGCTAGGCTACTTTATACCCACCTTCCACCTTGCAGCAAGAGCCAAGACTTTGGGCATCGACCCAATGGACACTGCTTACATCATTACAGTGGCTGGTAAGAGAATTTTAAGAAACTGTTCTTGAAACACCTTCCTTAAGATTTCAATATTAATGTATCACCAGTTCTATGCAGGGTTGGAGGGCAGAAAAACATTTAGACAAAGCCTAACAACATAAGGAAGACGACTTGTAGATAAGAGTAAACAATTACCTATACAGCAAGGCACAACCCCTTGACGGAATTCCATAATCCTGTTGATTCCAAGTCTGATATCAAAACTTTTACTATAGTTGAGCTGAGCCTGGCCGCCTCCCTCTCTAACTCCAACAGGTTGCTTAAAAATATGTTTTTAAAGAAGCTTTTACTAGAAGCTCTAATGAATCTATCAAATTGCCCTTATTCTTTGACCATTCCTGCCCTTGATGTGCTGTTTATGCTGTTTTAATACTGCTGCTATTTTTATGTGTTGGTTATTACTTTCCTTTTGCTTTATAAGTATATTTGCTTTATTGTTGTCAACAGTGAACAACAGTGCCTCGCACCAATTAGGCAGCATAGAAGTGGAATGAATGAATGACAAAAAGATCCCACCATAATATAGGAACTGTTGAAAAATTGAAGGCACGGCATAAAATAAAAATAATCTCTAATTCAGGATTATCAAACAGCTCCCTTAAACTGCTGACTCTGGTATGCAGCACCCAAATACGACAAAGTGGCTGAAATCTTATTGCGCAGATGTCATCAACAGTGACAAATCATTGCTGATTAAAGGCAATTTCAAAGTGCATGAAAATTGCACACAATACAACAAAGTCATGGGCATGCTAGAATCTCCAAACCAAGTATTTAATCAATTTGCTACTGAAATCATCAGCATTGCACACACAGAGCTATGCACAGGATTCCAGCTAAAGCAATATTGGAATAATAGTAAGAAGTATATGCCCAATTTCATTAAAGTCGCAAAGATTTGTTTATATGTTAACTAGGATGTGTAATTAATATCAAATGTTAAAAAAAGGTAGAGAAGAACTGAATATTTGCCATATTTCTCCAACTTGAAGTAAAATTGTTCTAATCAAAATCTGCTCTACTTCTTGCCTGATACTTCATTGCAAAATAAGACACAAACTCCGATAATCAAAAAGGACTTTATTAAACAAAATAATTTACTCCTTTTCAAACCAGCACTTTAAATGTTCACTGAATGAGTCAAGACATTAATGAACAGGGATCTACAAGCGGTGGTCCCAGGACTAACTGCAGTTCCCCACCCATTCATAAGGAATACCTCTGCCTCTCCCCAAAATGCCAGCCTAAAAGCAAGAACAGTGAAGTAAGCAGCACCTGCAGCAGGGGAACTACCCATAGGTAACACAGAAATGGAAAAGAAGATGGGGTCTTGGTTTAAAATCCTAATCGATTTAATAAAGCTTCCCTTCAAGAAACGGACACGATGAGTAGGGATATAGAATATATATAGAATATAGGAACAGCTCCACAAATTAGAAAATAATAAGAAATGGCCATAATCCTCAAATATGTGTATGGAGATATGCACATGCAGCTAAGAGATTTTTTTTCTTGAAATTATCAAAGCAAAAAATACACCACAAATCCCAACCCACATAATTGAACCGCAGCCAATCTACTTTCTTAGGAAACAATATAGCAATACAGAAACAATGCAATATGCCAAGTTAGATCTTTAGTCCACTGAACCCTATATTGTTGGCAATGACTGGCAGTTGCCCTCTGGGATTTCAAACAAAATTCCCTCCTAGCTCTACCTGGAAATCAAGCTTAGGGCCTCCTACATGCTCTAGTCATTTTGCTACGAAAAAGATCAGCAATGTTTTTGGAATCTTTCTTTCTGGTAATGATGAAATAGGAAGTATTTATTGGGACAGATGACTTACCAGTCAAATGGTAAGGAGACCAACAAATGAGTTCTGGAGAAAAAAACAACAATAAAGAGTTATAAGCAACAAATGCATTCATGTCAGGTACCAATGAAGCAATTTCAGAAGTAACATATAAAGGAATTTTGGAAATTACCCAAGTCATTTTATTTTTCCATTTATGGGAGGCCAATTCACATGAATCAAAACAATTTGGTTATCATCAATATACTTACAAGTCTAAAAGGATCCTTCTGACAGTTTACATTCTTATCTGTTATATGAGTAAGAAGCCTAGTTTTTCAAAGAATTAGTTTCCAATAGGGAAATATTAAACATTAAAAGAAACGGTTTCTAGAGCAGACAGCTATGGTCCTCCACATACTGCTGGTCTGTCCACAAGCTCTAAGCAGCATAGCCATCGCTAAGGGATGAAGGGGACTGCAATTCAGCCATTTCTGGAGGGCCACAGTTGCTCACTGCTGTTGGAGAGGAAGAGTTCCTAATTCTGCATGTACTGTCATCAGCCTCTAGAGATACATTTTCAGATTTGCTTGGCAGCTCTCAGTTATTTAAAATAGGTGCACAATGTTCTTATTTATCATTTTTTTAAAATTCTAGTATGCTTTTGTTTGAACATTAGTGATTTTTTTCCTCTTGACTTCCTTTCAGGAATAATTGAGACAGTTAGTCTATTGCTCTCTGGTTGGATTGCTGATCAGAACTGGATCAAGAAGTATCATTATCATAAGACATACCTCACTCTTTGTGGAATCACTAACCTTCTGGGTCCTTTGGCCACGACTTTCCCACTACTTATGACTTACTCTGTCACTTTTGCCATTTTCAGTGGTGGATACCTGGCACTTCTGCTTCCTGTGCTGGTAAGAGACATTAAAGGCTAGTAGTAAGGCATTGGACAATCTCAAGCACACAGAATTTTCTTGTCCCTTAAAAAAAGCCTGTATAATCTAAGTTTTCATTTCCTTTAATATACAGAAGATTAAATACTGTAACTGAAATATAAAAGCTGCAAAGATGACAAATATCAGTTACTATTCATAAACAGAAATAAGAAAGAGAACTGTACAGAAGGGAAGCTGTATTTTTCTGAATTCCTGAGTTAGTCTTTCTCAGCAACACTGATTAAACACACCTTCTCTATCAATTCAGGAACAAAATGGATTTGACATTCAAACTTCTAAGCATTTTGGAGTTTGATTTTGAGGAAAATGTATTGGCCCTGTCCCAGATGTAGGCCCATCAGTTGTTTTGTCTGCAAAATACTTAATTGCAGCACTGTTATCATGCCATATAATCAAAGTTCCCTGGGTAGATAAAATACTTTTTAAACACTGACATATAATTAAGCATACTGGCTGCAATTCTATTGCTCTTTGTGTAACTTGCAGTGGCTAACTGTGGCTCATTGACAAGGCACCAAGATGTATCTCAGCTGCATAGCCAGGCAAAGAACCAGAGCATAAAAACACAGAACTACATCATAAAAAGTAAGCAGCAGAGAATAAAGTCATTATAGCAAGGTATTCGAGCAAAATAATCAAATGAAGATTTTAGCATTCCAAAATTTCTCCAAAAACCTTTTTAAAGCCTGGAAGAAGAAAAAAGCAGCTATACCTAATACCACAACCACAGAAAATGGATGACAGGCAAACTTTTCATAACAAGCAACTACTACTCAGAATACTCTGGATTGAGTAATACCTTTATTTTATTGGATCTAGTATATTAATGAAATAATAATATTACTATCAATGAATCACACAGTTACTTCAGCCACTCCATATTTCTACTTTCCTCAAAAGCCACTTACTGCATTTCGTATTCAGAGGCAACTGAACATGATTTCAAGATCTGGGCAAGCACTTATGAAAAGGATTGCACGCTGATAACAAACCATTCATGTAACACTGATCCAGACCCTGTTAAGTCTTGTTGCATTATTTTAGACTAACTGAAGTTTTCAGTTGTTGAAATCATCTAAACAGTAGATCATAAGAGGACAGATTACAAAAGCAAAGGCTGTAATCCTATTTATTTGTTACCTACATGGTTGTTTTAAACATGCTTAAAGGACCTAGCTGCTCCTTTTTTCTCTACTGGCATTTACATGGGAAGGGCAAGTGTGAAGATAAGAAATTCCTCTTATCATTCTTGTTAGCAACATGTAAGACAAAGAACAAGTAACAAATGTTGGTTCTTCCAACAGGTAGATCTCGTAGGTGCTCCCAATTTCCACAGTGCTTTGGGATTTGCTTCATTTGTTGCTGGGATTGGAGTCATTGCTGGACCTCCCATTGCAGGTGACAGAAACTTTCTTCCTTTGAAAAAACAATTCCATCTTGTCAAAAGTAAGCTTAATAGGTACTGTATGCTGGACTACATTCCTGCTTCAAAATTCTGTGCCATGACATTTTATTTATAAAGTTTGGTTCATCTAAGAATAAAGGTTGGCACCAGAAGATCTTTTCTTTAGCCTTAGTAAAGGTGTAGGAAAAATAAAAAATAGGTGTGTTAAGTTTTCAAACTTTTCTCTTGCCTATGCCACCTGCATTGTAGAACTGAAAAACTAGGAAGCAACAGTGCATAAGCACAGAAACTGGTAGGAATATATGCAAGTCTGCAGCATCATCTGTTTAATATTTCAAGAATGGCACACTCTCCCCAAGAGGTAGTGGGATGTATTGGACTAGGACTCGGGAGACATATGTTCAAACCCTCATTTGGCTATGGAAACTCACTGGGGTGTGTGTAAATCTTGAACATCTCACATACCCTGAAAACCTTATTAGGGTTACTTTAAGAGGAAAACAAAGGCAAAAAGACATTGTGGCTCTTTAAAGACTTAACTGCTATATTTTAATGTAAGCTTTCATGGAACACTATCCACCACTTTAAACATGGGTTAGATTTACATTCTCAATGGGAGCCACATGGCCTTGTGGAGGGCCTTGGCACATGTGAAAGGGGCCACAGACTGGAAACAATTACTCACACGCCATCAAATAAGATTTGTTATGTGATTTATACAATTCACATACCCTGAAAACCTTATTAGGGTTACTAAGATGGATCCGGTAGTAGTGACAGAAAATAAGAGTAGATAACAACATAGTTATTGTTATTTGGTAATGACTTAAGAAACCTTGACTGATATTTAATCTACTTATATGGCATTTGCTTTCCTCCGGAAACACCTGAGATAAAATATATACACATAATGGACACCCGTATCAATGGATTTTGGAAACAATTACTCACACGCCATCAAATAAGATTTGTTATGTGATTTATACAATTCTGATTTGGTTTATATTTCTTTCATATTGTGTTGATGGCCATGGTCAAAAAAAGGTTGAGAATGGCTGAGTTAGAATACAGAGAAAAAATTCATGCAGAGCTATAACAGATAGTGTTTAGTTGCATTTCATACCTTGTAATGATTTACGACCCCTATTAGGTATTCAGTTCTTTTGAATTTCTGGTTCTGTAAGCAGCAACACAATTAAAGAAACAACAGAGGAACATGTGGTAATATAGGAGATGATAAACTTTACCTTTCAGCTTTGTTCTGAAAAGATGGATCCAGTAGTAGTGACAGAAAATAAGAGTAGATAACAACATAGTTATTGTTATTTGGTAATGACTTAAGAAACCTTGACTGATATTTAATCTACTTATATGGCATTTGTTTTCCTCCGGAAACACCTGAGATAAAATATATACACATACTGGACACCCGTCATCAATGGATTAAATATTATTCAAAGTTTCTTAAGTCATTACCAGATTTTAATTATTATATTCCTACAGCTAAATAGCAAGGTAAAGAAAGCTGTGTGAGATAAGAAGCTTTCTACAAAAAATTTGGAAATCTTCTTCCATTAAAGGCCAAGTAAAACCCCAAACTCTGGCAGTACAGATGTCAACTGATCAGAAGGCAAGCAAACAAACAAAATGGATCTTAGAAGAAATTGCTAAAGGCATAAAAGAAACCATAAACATTTAATTAAACAGATCAACAGGAAAATGCAAGGAGATACATAATACCTTTTGTGTGAAAAGTATAAAAGAAACTCAAGAAAGAGACTGCACAGAGGCTACCTGGAATCTTTGCATCATTTTTCACTGGGGAAGACGTTGGACAGCAATCATAGTTTTGTGGGAGGGCATTTGAGGCACTGTATTAAACAGAGTCAATAAAAGGATGATATGTTAAAGCTGACAAATCACAAACTGACAAATCCCAATAACATTATCAGCAGGTTCTTAAAAGAACTCTAATGTGAAAACGCTGAACTTATATTCTCTATGACAACCAACTCCCACCTTCTATTAGAACTTTCAGAGCAGCATAAATCACAAAAATTATGAAACTATAGTTAAAAGAAGAAATGATGGATTCAAATCAAGTAAAGATTATTAACATTTACAGAGCTCCTAATAATGATCTTCAGGAATGGGCTGGTTCATATGGGAGCACCTGCTTTAGCAGAGAATCTGGAGATGGTCTTGCTTTGAAAAAGAGATACAGTGGGGTCTCAACTTACAAACTTAATCCGTATTGGAAGGCAGTTCTCAGGTCGAAAAGTTCTTAAGTCGAATCTGCATTTCCCATAGGAATGCACTGAAAACCATTTAATCCGTATCTGCTCTTTTCGTCCATAGAAACTAATGGGAAGCTGCTATTCCGCCTTCTGCCACTAGAGGGGGATATTTTTTCTTTTTTCCTTTTAACCTAAGATGACTTAGCTTTAAAAGGAAAAAAAGAGTTCGTAACTCAAATCTAAATTCGTAAGTCGAGTCCATATATTCCTATGAGAGCTGTTCGTAAGTCGAAATGTTCGTATGTCGAGCCGTTCGTAAGTCGAGACCCCACTGTACAGTAGAGAGTGGAAATAATAGATCTGATTGCCTAGTTTCTATCCAGCTAAACTAAGACAATGCCTTAGTAAAGCTGAAATTCTTTTAATATAAAACAAAATACTTCTGAAATAGGAAAATACCTTCTGATCATCACTTCCCATTTTGATAGGAAGCAATAGTGTGATTGCAGCACTAACCAGAGGTGAAAAATTGTGACCCCCCCCCCAAGAACCACAAATGGTGCTTAATCCCAAATTAAGCCCTTACAGACCTTTTAATATAGGTGAAGAACAACACAAATGTTTATAACATATGCATGATATAGGGCAAGTCACATACAAAAGAAAATTATTTCTTATACAGCAAAATTGTTTTCGTCCCTCAACAAAAATGATCAGTGGTAAATTCCAAATGGAACATCAACAACTACGTATTTCATATAATGATGTAAACTAAAGGAATTCAACAGCACAAGATGTGGGGAAACTCCCTAGCTTAGATGCTTTAAAAAGGGACAAAGATACTGCAAAGCTCTATGTATATAACTCAATGAGACCCCTCTGAGCATAGGATGATGCCACTTCAAGTAAACAAGCACAGAATTGTGCTGTTACACTTCTTTGTAAGCTATTCTATCAACAGATATTCATCACAGCTCTGACCATGCTGGTGGGAGGATTCTGGAATACAAAAAAGTAACTCTGCCAAGTTCTCATCACAATAACTAAATGGCAGGAGCATAAGAGATGTTAGGGACATGCAATGGGTTCCTACAAACACATGGGTGGCTTGGCTAACATTGTTGCAAGTATAATCCTGGACAAGATGAACCTTTGCTCCAAGCCAGCAGCGCTGTTGATAAACTCTGCTCTATTGTGATCTGAGTCAGAGGAGTAGCACAACTAAAACTCTGAATCACAGAAATAGGTTCTTAGTCAAGAATCCACTTCAAAATATCTTGAAAAGCTGGGATTACCATAAAGGAAAAGTAAGACATGAGCCCTCTGGTGGCATATTTTAAAACAGCTTGGTAACACATGAAACCATTGTGGGGGGGGGGGGCGCACTTCACTAGTCTCTCCCAACAAGGCCACAGAGTTTTATTTCGATTTGTGAATGTAAATGTGTCAGAAAGCACACAATAAGAGGAAATATTTCATTTCATTGCATGTGTGATCCTAGAACATTTATTGTTCAGTAAATGCTCGGGTGAGCTCCTGCCGCTTGTCCCAGCTCCTGCCAACCTAGCAGTTCTAAAGCATGCAAATGCAAGCAGATAAATAGGTACCACCTCAGTGGGAAGGTAATGATGTTCTGTGTCTAGTCGCACTGGACACGTGACCACAGAAACTGTCTTTGGACAAACGCTGACTCTACGGTTAGGAAACGGGGATGAGCACCGCAACCTAGAGTCAGACATGACTAGACAAATTGTCAAGGGGAACCTTTACCTTTACCTAAATGCTGGAGTAGGAATCATATCCATATATGTAGTCTGAACATGAAAAAGCCAAGGAAACATATACGTCTCCTATTCATCCACCCACCTCTGGCTGGTATTGGAAAGTCTATGTAGCATCATATTAGGACCATCCACTTCAGATACAAGACACAAGAGCATCTTTTTCTGTATCAGGGCTCACTATACAGTATACTCAAAATATTTACATACTAATTTTCATCCTGTCTAGAATTTTAAGGCTGTATAAAATTATGATACATCACAAATACAGTAACATAACAGAAATTAAAAGTTGCAACATATTTAAATGCCTAGAATAATATGAACACTTTTGTTTGGTGCCAAGAAGTTTGTAACACTGGTACATGACAGATTTTTTTAAAAAAGGAAGTGTTTGAGAAGCAGTGAAGGGTAGAAATACCCTCTGTTGTTAATGAACGGATATTTCTCTGACTACAACCCTCTAAAGCAATTAATTGGCAGAAGACCTTAAAATAGAGGCAAACTGGGTTACTTACAAATTAGTGTAAACGATTAAAAATATTGTTTAATAACATGACATAAGGAAACACTGAAAGAACCAGATAGGTTTACGTTACAGGAAAATACAAGTCTATCTAACCTAAATAAGGGCCGCAGGAACTATAAAGAACAGTTTTTCTTTTGCATCATAGACAGCAGAGCAAGAAAATATAGGTTATGTAAACACAATGCTCTGGGTGTTTTCCTGGGTACCTTCTGCAATAGTGATGCAATGAAAGAGAGGATCATTCAGACCAACCACCTGTACTGTGAATATTTACAAGGTTTTCATCAAATACTTTAATAACTGTACCCTGGTATCCTTTCTGCAGGTTGGCTATATGACTGCACTAGGACATACACCTACTCTTTCATTTTTGCTGGCATTTGTTTTATAATTTCTCCCATTTCTCTATTCTTTGAACCGAGAATCAGGAAAGAATATTCAAGTAAAACACTGCATTTCTACAGCAACTGAAAGAAGCTGTACCAGCTAGTATATGTAATTAAGTGCAACCATGTATTCACTCTGTAAGAAATAAAAACAAATTAGAAGACATTCATATTAAAGTTTCTGCATTTTCTGTGCCTAAGTACCCTGTTTCCCCTAAAATAAGACCTAACCTGAAAATAAGCCCTAGTATGATTTTTCAGGATACTTGTAAGTCCTACCCCAAAAAAGCCCCATTTAAGTGAAACCCCACCCTCCACCATTGTGCACCAACCAGAAGATGATGACATGACTGTTTGAATAAATGTATATTGTTGTACATGAAGAAAAAAAAATAAAACATCCCCTGAAAATAAGCCCTAATGTATTTTTGGAGCAAAAATTAACATAAGACCCTGTCTTATTCAGGGGGAAATTGTATCTGGGCACATAATAAATTACACTTTATACAAAAATAAGTCTGGTTCAAAACCCTAGACATACATTCACCTGAGTGTTTGTCACCACTTAGCAACAAAAAAGTTACTGGGCAGGAAATATGCCTTTCTTTTTTCCACACTTCAGATCTAATAATTCTTGCATCCATGACTTCCCAGAGCTATCAGACTATCCTAAGACACAAGAACAGGTAACTTACCTTCAAAGATGCAACTTTTGAGACTTAAAAGATTGACACCACACAAGGCCCAGTCATATACAAAGTCCTGCTGAGTTTAAGGGTGCTTATGTTCAGCCCTAAAAGAGTAAGCACAAGACACTACCAAGGAAGATACAAATTTCACAGATATCCCATTCCCAAAGAATATCGGACATGTAGGTATCTGGGCAGAAACTCCACTGTTGGCTCTCATCATAATGCCTCTTGGAAAAGCCCAAACAAAAGATGAATTGAATGGGGGAACACCTTTCAAAATTTCTTTTACCAGCACATTCAGTACATTGAGACTTCTCGTTACAGAATATGTGATAGTGCTGGCTTTTTCATTTATGTAAAAAAATATTGGCTGGGGATAAGAACTGTAGCCAAGCATAGCAGAAGACTGCCAGGGTGGGAAATGCTGTTCTTGGTAGATACCAAGAGTCCACATTTTCGAAGTAGCATGGCAATATGAACAGTCAATATGGCCAAGAAGCAAAATGCCAGGAAGCAAAATGATGTGCCAACAAGTAAATTCCAACTTCTGGCAACCGTTTCCAGGCTTTCCTATATACAGAGTACTTGGAGAGATACCCAGTGTGGTATAATGAATAGAGCGACAGCCTAGGACTTGAGAGATCTTGGTTCAAATCCCTGCTCAGCCATGGGGATTCATGAGGATGGGAGGGGGAGTAGAGCCATCCCTTAGACAGCTCACTCACGTTGAAAGCCCCATTAGGGTCACTATAACGCGGTTCTGACTCGACAGCACATAACCATGTAGCATGAGGACTCAAAAGTGGTTCTTCTGTGGGCAGCTTGGATTCTGCAGCTTGCCCAAACCTACAAAGCCAGGATCTTTTCCTGGTAGGCACAGTGTGGAATCAACATCCTCACCCCAACTTGGCATTCATGGAACTAGCCCGTGCGTCCTAGGAAGCATCTTGCTATTACTGGTCTTTCAATGGAACACATACCGTTCAATGTAGAGGTTCATGGGGGCAGCAGTTTTTCCAGACTTCCTATACCTAGGGGTGGTGGTTCATTTTTTATGATGTTTGTCAGTTACTGTCAGGGCAATACATATCCCATGGCTGAATAGATTGATTGATTGATTGATTGATTGATTGATTGATTGATTGATTTGATTTGATTTATATCCACCCATCTGGTATATTCTACCACTCTGGGCGGCTTACAGAATATCAAAACAATTAAAAAACAAAAAACATTAGCATACAATAATAACAAATAGTGCAGGAATAAATAAATAATAAATAGCAAAGCAAAAGAAATCAGTAGTTGACGGGAGAGAAGGCCTGGATGCACATCCATGTTTTCAGCTGGCATTTGAAAGTACCCAGCGTAGGGGCTTCGCGAATCTCCAGAGGAAGGTTGTTCCAAAGGCGAGGAGCCACCGCCGAGAAGGCCCGGCTTCGAGTCTTTTCCCTCCGGGCCTCCCTCGGCGTCAGGCTCCTCAGCCTCACCTCCTGACTCGTGCGGGTGATCCGAGTAAGTAGATCTTGGTGGGAGCAATTATTATCAATTATCAATTCTCAGTTTTTGCTGGTACAGGGAGAAGAAGAAATAAACTCTAGACTTTGTTTTTCATATGATCTATTGCTAATAATTGCAGGTGGTGTCATCTACACAATAATGTTGCATTACTCTCCCTTTTTTCTCAACTGTATTATGCTTCACATATTGTTGTGTTCTGCACAGAGGTTTATATTTCATGAAAGAGGGACGTGCTAAGAACAGCTATAGTTTCCTTCCTATCCCTCCCCCAATGCATTTTCTTGTGAATTTGAACACTGCAGACCTCATGCTAAGTTGTTTTACAAAAAGTTCACATGCTTCCTAAATGAAAACCAATCATTTCACAATTTTTGCCACAGGCTTTCATGTTCCTTCCTTCTTTTGCTCTATTCCAGTTAACATACAGCAGTCTATTTGAGTACACTTGTAGAAAATCTATGTTAGTCTACCGAAAATAAAACAAAGGCCCCAAACTCTACACCTGCAACTTTAGTAAGGAGACTTATATATGGGTTGGAAATGGATGGGGATCTCTGACCTCCACAGAACCGTCAAAAAGCAGCAATTGAGGCAGCAGCAACAGCAGCATCTACACTGTGGGAAGACACACAGAAAATGGAAATTAAATCTAGCAGCTGCAAGAACATCCTGACTAGTACTGTTTCCTGTCTAGTTCCATTTACTACACTGTCTGACTGTACTCCAGGCAATTTGTAAATCACTTGCCAGTTGAGCTCATGCCCACACCTCTGTCACTAGATTATACTCTGCCACCTCCTAATCGTGTCTGATAATTTCATTTGGAAGAATCTTAATTGTTTATAGCTTCACCAATTCACACAATTCTGGCTGAGAAAAACCTCAGATAATACACTAATCTATCAAGCTTTATTCTTTACAACTTTGCATGTAGAAATTAGCCACTGACAATGCTAACCAGATTCCCTTTTAACAAGGGCTTCCAAAGGTGATTCAAACCTTGCTTGAGAATCATGTTATTTTAATCAGTGTCAAAACTGGGGTACATACAGGCCTAAACCGAACACTACACTGATTGATCTTGCCTGTACTGTATTTTCAGCAATTGCCAAAAGAGAAGCCTCTAAACACAAATGATTTCTATTTACAAAAGAGGGGTACATGAAAGTTTTGTGTATCTGTTGTGTAATCTTTTGTTACCCTTTCTTTTACACTTTGTCAAACTGATTGAGAAAAAATTCATCCAATAGAGAGGTGTGACCAGCCATCTGGGAAAACTGGGAATTTTGAATCTGAAAAAGGTCCTGGAACCCAGTGAGGGATGTTTTTTTTTAAAGTTGTTCTTGTGTAATTACTGGGTGCTATGCTCTTGGTGCCCTCCATCTTGTATTGCTGCTTGCCTGTTGTGGCTCCATGTTGGCTTCTTTTTCTTTTCTTTTTTCTTTGTATTTTTGTTTTGTACTATTTTTGTTGCTGCGAGGCAGCCTGCCTGTGCCAGAACACTTCCTTGGAATTACTTTTTGGATTTTCCCTCCCCCAATTGTGGTTTTTTTTTTTCACTTTTCCTCTTTGTTTGGCCAGTCGGTCCTTTCCCTTCTTGGATTACTTTTGCTGCTACCTGGCCTGTCTCATACGACTCAACAGGGAAAGCAAAGGCATCAAGTAGGGCAGGGGTCACCCCACCTTCTAGCAATTCTGATTTAGAGGAGTTTTATTTCTTTTGCTTTTAGGTTAGTCGCTTTCCTTGGTTTTTGACCAAGAGAGCTATGTGCACAATTTTAAATTTTGCTATTTTTCCCCGTGTGTCTGTAAGGAGTACTTCCCTGTTTGACTGATTTTTTTTAAAAAATAAATGTTATTTGGTTAATTTGCTATGTGTTTATTTTGATAAAACAGTATATTTAAGTACAGTAGGTTTTTTGGGGGGAACAGTTTGCCTTCCTGTGGAGGTGTATGGCCCAGCGAGGTGGACGTTGTGACTGTGCCAGAATGGGCACACATGCGACATTTCTCTTTTACTGTTCTAGAGCAGTGATGGCGAACCTATGGCACATGTGCCACAGCTGGCACACAGAGCCCTCTCTCTGGGCACACGAGCCATAAATTGCCATCGAGAAATATTTACCCATCCTCCAATCCTGGATTTTGGCACTCCCCTCTGTTGGTGTAGTGGTCCAGCAGAGGGGTGCAATGGCGACCACGACCAGTCTAGCCCAATGGGGGATTGGAGGACCAGTATTTCTTTGTTAATGCTGCCCACAGGGAAAAAAACACAAGCATTTAACCCTTGCAGTGCAGGATCAGTCATTTTTTCTAAGCTAAAACCTCAGCATTTGGGTTTTAATTGCAGTATTGGCACTCTGAAATAAATAAGTTGATTTTGTGTTGCAGTTTGGTCACTCGGGCTCAAAAAGGTTCACTATCACTGTTCTAGGGTGTGGTCTTGGTTGCTATGGTGGGGGGGGTCTCTTTGCATGCTAGGCAACTAGTGCATGACTGGCTAGCTGCTTTCCTGACTTTTTTCTATTGGGGTGCCCAAGCTGAGACGGTCTGTTGTGCTGGATTAATGGCACTAAACCCACATTGTTGTCTTCTCTTTTTCAATTTTGGGATCCTTTATTGTTTTTTTTTGGGGGGGGATGACTGAGGTATTTTTCACTCTGTGTGGAGGATTTTTCTTTCTCATATATCATTGCCTGCTTTTGAAGTAGACTGATTATCCGCTGCCTTATTCTTCTTTTTTTGGGGGGTGAGGGGGAAGTAGGTTCTTTAGGGCTTTTGTAACGATACAAAACATGAATGGGGAAATATGAATAGGAAACTGAAGTGAGGCTTTCCCTTTCAAAACAAATGGACCACTGCACAAAAAATATAAAAAAGAAAAAGGCACTTCCTGAAATAACCTGAAACAAAATAAGAAATTTTTCACCTTGGATATAAACAGAACTTTGATCTCCTCCCTTCCCTGTTGTAGATCTCAGAGATGCACCCAAACTGGCTCCAGTGGGGCTCTTAGCCCTCTGGTGCAAATTTTAGTTGTGTATAAA